ACGTCACTGAAGTTTTATTTTTTTTAGAAAGAGATCATATTAACGAAGTGTAGATATGTGTAGCACTTCTTCTCTTCCTCCATTAAAAGAAAACCTTGTTGAAGTTTTTATAGGTGCATATCTGAAATTACTGTGACATCTAAAAATGTTTTAGAGAATTTGAAACTCGCAGGGCACATTGAAAGGAACTTTGGCAGAAAGAACCAATGATTAAACTAACGGGTTTCTGTAAATCTATTTTATAGCATGAACTGAAACGAACATTAAAGAGACAAATGTTACTTTGGCGTACGAACAGCAAGATGTTGTTGTGAATTATGTCCTTTCATGACACGGAACAAAATAGAAGTGGAAGCTCCAAAAGTTGTCTTTACGTATAAGTTCGACATATGATATTGCAAATGGCTCTGCTTTACTCACATCTGTAAATCTTATTTCCGTTGGAATTCAAAAGTTTACCAAATGCGGAAAGACTAAGATTCAATGAATAGTGTTAATGGTCACATTGTCGTCCAAGGTTAGTGTATACTTACTACGGAAAAAGAAGCAAAATTAGCCCTACTGTAATATTGATTAGTGTTATGGTCCATGTTAGGATCAAGGAAGATCAAAACGAACAGAAGAGTAAAATAACGAAGGTATATTACACGAAATAATAATACAAGATGTGGAAGGTGTTAGTATGACTGTCAAGTGGTTTGGGTGAACAACCACCGGCTCGATTCGACGGTATCTAGCCACCCCTCGCGAGGGTTTTGCAGGCTCGGCAAAAAGGCCGAAGTAAAATCGGGTGGGTTCCGAACGAGATTCTGTCCGGGTTCGGGTTCTGCTCAGAGGCAGAGAGTTCGACCGTCAAGCCGAGAAGCTCCGGCTCGATTCGGTATCTAGCCACCCCCAACGAGGGTTGCATGTGGCACAAGGCCGAGTTTATCGTGGGTTTCCCGAGCCCGTAGGCTCAGCCAAAAAATGCCCGTATAACCCGTATAAACGAGATCGGGTAGGTCCTTCTCCCCGAAGGAGATTCTGCCCTTCGGCGGAACCCCGTCCGGGTTCCTTTCTGCTCAAAAGCAGAGAGTTCGACCGTCAAGTCGAGAAGCTCGGCTTGATTCGGTATCTAGCCACCCCCCCACGAGGGTTGCATGTGGCACAAGGCCGAGTTTATCGTGGGTTTCCCGAGCCCATAGGCTCAGCCAAAAAATGCCCGTATAACTCGTATAAACGAGATCGGGTTGGTCATTTCTCCCCGAAGGAGATTCTGCCCTTCGGCGGAACCTCGTCCGGGTTCCTCTCTGCTCAAAAGAAGAGAGTTTGACCGTCAAGTCGAGAAGTTCGGCTTGATTCAGTATCTAGCCACCCCCCACGAGGGTTGCATGCGACACAAGGTCATTTTTATCGTGGGTTTCCTGAGCCCGTAGGCTCAGCCAAAAATATGCCCGTATGACTCGTAAAAACGAGATCAGGGTAGGTCATTCACCCCGAACGAGATTCTGCCCTTCGGCGGAACCTCGTCCGGGTTCCTTTCTGCTCAAAAGCAGAAAGTTCGACCGTCAAGTCGAGAAGTCCGGCTTGATTCGACCCTCTCTCTTGAGAAGCGTAGGATACATAGTGTTAGGAAGAGTTCATTCAGTAGTTATAGGTAAGGACCCAAGACAATTAGTAAACTATTTAATGAGATTGCCGTCTTTTTCCTTTGAATTTCCGTGTCTCATTTTCTTTGTCTATTATCACACTACCCACATAGTTAATATCTATACTTGTTAAACTCTAATGTTTCCCACATGAAACTCACACGTTTTCTTTGCTACTTAAGTTAAAAATCATAATCGTTTCTTATCGCTTTCCATTTCCAACCTCTCTCGGCTTTTTTCTGTTCAAACTGCCTTCAACAAAATTTCACACACGTAATATAATTTAAGATTACCAAAAATGATAATGATTCTGGTATGTGAATAAAGGAATGTGCGGTGGTGTTATGTACGTGGGGACGGAATAATTAACTTGGAGAACCAAGTTCGAATTCCAGTCTGGTTCATTACATTCACATACACGCAAACACACTTGCAAAAGGTTTGGAAGCATATCCTCCCTCGAGCAATGTGTTAAAATTTATCATCTGAATCTGGAAAAATCATTATTATTTTCAGAAATTTGTTAATGCAATCTTCATTCGTAAAACCTGAATTATTCTTACAATCCAAAATATGTTTCCTCTTTGAATTACACACAAATGCTTGACGAATCATAAGCAAATCATTCAATCTAAAATAAGGATTATTTACTTTTACATACAAATTTTCATTGTTCAGGGATAAACATTCATAATATATGTTCGTGTTTATACCGGACCGCAGTGCGATTTGATACATTCAAATTGGCAGTTGATATGAAGCAAAACAGATTTTACTTCATGATAAAGCATAGAATAATGCATGCAAATATTATGAAACATTAGCGAAAAGGTTGCGTTAAATTTATTTAATCATTTATGGATATTAAATGCCATAATCCTTATTTTCTCAATGGCACAAACTACAGCTTTAACTTGCCCTGCGCTGAAATAATAGAAATCATTTTGTTGAAATGTGCTAATTCGTGCCGGAATATACCGACTTCTGCCATATTTGCTTCTTGATGAAAGCCTTAATACAATAATGTTCTGTATTCCGTATATCATTAATTTTTTTGCAATGCACGCTATCTGTTTCGTTATATCCCTGTTTTAGTAAACTCGCGCGGTTTTTGTTTTATATGTTGAATTGTATCATTTGGAAATTTTGTTCAGTCAATGCTAACCATTGACCTGAGTGAATCGCTGAATTCCATTTGTCGATATTTTATTTTAATAAATTTTATATTCAGGGATGGATTTTAGGCTATTTTTGAATCCTGTACTTATTAAAAATTACAATTCACGAATCATTTGAGTTTCTTATATTTTGCAAGAGAGTTATGGTTCCGAAACGAGAAATTAACCCAACAAATTGTTTTTTTTTTTCATGATTTCCAGCTTATAGCGGATTCTCCAACAAAATGCGATTCTGTGCTCGACACCTCTTTCGTAAGAAATGTTTAAACCAAGTCGTTTTAGCCTATTTTACGTTCAGTTTCCTTACCTATATTATCTTATTTAAGGTTCTGTTGGGACATAACAATCATTCTTTGATCGCATTTATTTAATTTAATACATCAATAAATGAGCTTTCTATCCAAAACTCTCCCAATATTAGCTTAATTTTGTTTTATTTAATACCTGAGTTACATTTTATTAAATCTTATTTAATCTTACTTAAGGACCTCTTGTAACAAATATACCATAACAATCATTGTTTGATCCATTTTATTAATTTAGTAGGTTAACTAATTAGCTTTCTATCCAAAACCCTCCAATTATTAGGATGATTCTTGTTTTATTTGATATTTTATTTATATTTTATTACTTATTATTTTGTCGCACTTTAAGACCTTTTGGGACATATATAGCCTAAAATCATTCTTTACCCTCTTTAATGTAACTTAATACTTCAACTGATGTGCTTCCTATCCAAAACGCTCCCAATAATATCATAATCCTTGAATGTGACGGAATGCCTTGATCTTCCAATCCCATTTCATATATTTTTTTATGTAATGATCTTTTTCAAATTCCCTTTTCCCCATTATGAATATAGATTCATTAAATTTCACGTTGAAGACTTTACAATGTATATAGCCTATGTTGTCATTTTCTATTCAACATAATAATTTTGCATAAATATCTTAATCTGCCAAGATGTTTATTATGCACCAGCATAAATCAAGTGAAAACATTTGCATTCCTATTATCTGTATCGGATTCTATTCACATTTTTAGCTGACTTATATCAATCTAAAAGCACCAGATAACAATAATTTCCTGACTGAAAGTATAAAGTGTCCCTAACGTTATATTGTCTTAAGATTAGAGCTTAGTAAAATGTAAAGAAACTGATTTTTACCTAATTTTTATTTCGTTTACCACGATAAGAAATGTTTATTCAACCCATAAAATTCTCATGTAAGATGTCATGATTTAAATTGTTTTTCTACCTTGTTTTGTTAGTTGCTATATTACATAATATTATATTAAATTATATATAAAAGGTTTTTAGAAGGACCGATAAAAGGCAGAAGAAATAGATGAATAAATTTGTTACTTGATAGATTCTTTGTTGCGATTCAATGTTCAAGGTCATATTAATATTTGCAGAGCTGTTTATAACTGCATTCCATGAAGAAAGATCTCTTGTCAGCCATTTCATCCTGAGGCGAGCTTTTGGTTCGAGGAATGTATGGGAACTCTGTAATAACATATGAGGTGAACCGGAACTATAAAAGACAGATTAGATCCGCTAATAAATAAGAACCCGCCTTCTGTAAAACAGTGTATAAGAAAGATGCTATGGTGAAATTTATGAAGAACTGTTTTTGCGAACAGAAAGAGAAATAATAGCTGCCTTAGGGAATTATGCAATCATTTCAATGGTGACTTATTCACTATCAAACTTATTCCCTTTAAGAATCAAAACACGTCGTCTGGTTAATTATCCATTTCTTGAAACCTTCTGCAAAATCGTTTTTTTTTATAATTAATGTAGTCCACATCAGGAAATATTCCATATCATTTGATTTTGGTTTTGGAAGTTTGCAGATAACCAAACAGGTCTAAAAAGAATATCTTCCTGCGATTATGTTTTCCATAAAACATTGTGAAAAAATATACAGGAGCATTCACATGTTGAATACACAAGCTGGCTTAATTGTGTCACCAATGCCGACTCACTAACCCGATAGGAGCATACCAACTCATGTATGTTATGAAGATATTTCAAATGAATATTTTTTAGAAGGGACTATATAATTAGTAAAAAAGGTGAAAAAAGAATGGAAACCTTGAAGGAGGAATGTAAAATAGAATTAAATTTTAGTTTTAGAAATGCCACTAGGAAAAAAAGAGGATTTTATTGTAATAAAAAAGGTACATTTTAATAAAAACGAACAACAAAAAAGAAGTAAGAGACAAAAAGAGGGAAAAAATTGATAGAAACAGAAAAGTTTGATAGAAATAGAATGGACGTGTTAATTTGTAATGATATCGCAGATAAATGGAATATTAGAAAAGGGAAAAGAAAAAAAAAAGAGTCGCAAAAAGAAAATGAATTAAAAAAGCAAAGGATGAGAAGATAAAAATGAGATGAAAAAGATAATTGAAAGAAATTAAACAACATATACATATAACAAACTCTAGAAAACAATGGAAAATATCAAGAGAATTCATGATAAAAAGGATGAATATAATGAAAAAGAATATTCCAACTGAGAGACGAAAGAAAAACTAAGACTGAAATCTTCGTTATTTGAAAGGAGAATGGTAAATAAATATAAGGAGTAATAAAAAGGGAGGACTATATCAAAGAACGGGTTGAAGAAAATATAATGATGAATGAAAATAAAAGTGTAAAGAATAAAAAACAAAAAAAATATAGGTAAAACATAATTAGGTACGGATGCAGTTATTTCGGTTGGTAGATATTTAGTTTCGAGGCATACTAACATCTATGGGTTATTTAATGCCGAAATTAAAATATTTCGTAAGAATTTTAAAATTTTTTGGAGATGTTAATATTTATAGTTATAGAAGTTTTAATAATTAATCCATAGCTGGGAGTGGAAAATGTGGATTCATACCTTTTGCCAAGCATATTTTAATATAACGAACCCGACTAGAATTGGAACTAGGCTCTCCGATTTACAATTTCGAGCCATTATTCATTACACCATTCCCACATCCAATCTTACAACACTTGATATTTCCAAACAGTTACTCATCGAGGTTCTGACCAGGCTGAACGTTGCTTAATTCCGGTAATCGTACGCGAATCGGTGTTTACACGTCGCGTCCGTAAGCCGTAGGGCGTGATGAATAAACAATTGGAAATGAAGAATTATTGCATGATGCAAAGGAAGAAACTCCAATGAGAGAACAATCTATCATAAGTGAAATGCCAGGATCCGCTCGGTGATAGTGGGAGGTTACTAGTTTGGTTTTGGACATATTGACTTTTATACGACGATCTTTCTCCCATTGGTGCACCTGGGCGTAATCAGAGGGAGGATCACCGGCAAGGTTCTGGTCGTTCAGATTTTCTGGAGGTGCTACAATCAGTTGTTATATATGTTGCTTCCATCTGCCTTTTCTACAAATATGTTCATGGCAACTGCTCTTGCGAGCTTTTTTTCCCAGCTGTCCCGACTGCATGAATTTAAGCATGCAAATAAATTAGAATCTAAGTCACACTCTTTTACTGTTGAAATGGTTAAATACTGGCACCACTTCTACTTCAAGATTCTTTCCTCACACTTCCCGCCTGTGGAACTCCCTTCTGTTTATTTCTTTGCTGATAAGTATAATCTTAGAAATTTCAAATGTAAAGCCAATTGGAATCTTTTTTTCTTCTTGAATCCCGTTAATTTTTCATCCTTTCCTCAATACCCCTATACTCTAATCTTTCCTTTCACTTTCACTTTCACTCTGTGTAATCCTATGCGGACTTGTGGCATTTCCGCCTTGCTTGGGGTGAAAGAAACAGTATACAAGAGAAACAAAATAAGATACAACAAATATGAAACATGAGTAAAGGAAGGAGAAAACAAAAGACATGAAGAAAGGTAGATGGAATTTAGAGCAAATCACCTAAATAAAGGAGGGGTAAAAGGAAGTATGATGAAATAGACTAAATACAATAAAGAAAGAGATAGATTAAAAAAAAACGAATGTGTGATAAGTAAATTAAAAACAATATCACAAACAACAGAAAGAGAATAAAATAATACAGGCAACAAAATTTATCATTGAACATATTTATTTTAAATTCGCTTCATTATTTGTATTATTTATCCGAAATTTTAAGTTCCCTTCTATGTCTTCTGTATTATATAAACCGCATCCGTTTCTTTGCTGTCCTTCACCGCTTTCATCCTCTCAGCATTCTCGTCCCTAACCCCCGACAGAGAAAGCGCTGACCTTCAAGCTTCAAACGATAGCTTACAAAGAAGGGCTTACACATTTCCACCTGCCAACAAGAATATATCGCTGTAAGGTGGTATCCATCTCCTTAATTTCATACCCTCTTGCGAAATGTTGTTTTTGTTTATATCCATCTATAATAAGCCAATCAAACACGCTTTGGGATTCAACTTTGTCGGCCATAAGCCTTCATTCAAAATAGTTGGACAGCTACTGTTAAACATCAGGTCAACTTTGAGAAGAATAAAGACCTACTTATATCTGATTTATAGGAATTTATATAACACCTACTTATTATTCTTTACTGTGAAAAAATAACATCAAATAGGGAAAGTGAGACCTATCAAAAGCATATTAGATTCATGGCAAATCAAATCAGTTGTCGGCTCGGCTGCAGTCACTTTCCCACTGCTGAAGGTTGCCTTCCGGTGTTTTTTTCTATAAATAATTTCATGGTTACTAGATTTTTATTTAATTTTAAGTGCAGTAATAGAATAGCGTCGAGATCACATCAAGTTAAATTTCAGCTGGTTAAATGACCATACAAGAAACAAGTTAAAATGGTCTATAAAAATCAGTTTTGAACGTACAATAACTTGTAAATATATAGAGCCAGACAAGTGAAGAGAGTGCGACAATGTGCAAGAATTATTATGTTTTCAAAGGACAACATTAAATTCTGCCCCCTCAGAGAGGAGTTATTTGGAAAGGACTATCTCGTATAAGTGCGCAATCATCCGTAAGCGAACAACGCTTAAAGAAAAGAAAACAAGTTGTTGAAATGCAACAGTGCCGTTTGTAAAGACACGATTGCTATGGTACTACTGTTCGTAAAATTACGCATATCAATCATACGTGTTCAGTGATACTGATTTCTTTAAACTTTAAAACATGTGTATCCAGTAAATATCAGTCTCACTACACATCAATCAGATATATTTACACTAGTTTATTAGACATCACGCTGCTCTGATGAAATGAATTTATGGAATAAGATAATCAGTTCTACTTTACATTTTGCGATAATTTTCATTGCTGTCAAACGAAAATAAAAGATAGATAAAGGTAGAGCCATTTTAGATCAAGTTTCATTTCTTTGACGATGAGACTGGAGTAGCCACTCCAGAGTGCTGGCCTAGACGATAGAATATACAGGCCGTTTGCTATATGCACCCCCTCCTTTCAGCTGTATTGACAAGATCCAAGAATACAGGATATTACATTTGGAACCGGCTTGGCCGCAGAAGTTGCCAGCAAGTTGCCAGTGTTGACAGCCAACCGCCCGATTTTGAACATCTTGTAAACATATCCAAACACGGAAAACGCTAAGTAAATCAAAACAGACTAAGATGCAAAAAAATAAGTTTATATCTATTTTATACAACAAATGTCTGGTCAGCGCTTTAAATAAGTGAAATGAATTAATAAACTTTTGAAGGTATAAAAATAAATACAAAATTAGAACATATATACATGATAGTTTATATCACTTTTAACGTTATTTTTCGTCGATATTCATATTTGATTGGTTTTGCTTTGCTTTGCTTTGTTTTACGGCAACCTCAATGAGTTATTTAATGCCGACGAGATTTTTACAGCTGGTAATAATATGTTGCTGGTAACAATTTTTATTTTTCTTCTTCAAAATTCATTGCTGCTAATATTTCTTTAGAAAAATATATTGATGGTATTAAAACATATTTTTAATCTTTCATAGCGTTTTGACCCCAGTATGAGCTTGATTATTTGCCCATAGATGGCACCCTGACAGGTGTTATAACCCCGGGTCAGGGTCAACCTGGGAACACCAGCAATTAAGAGGTGGGCCCACACACCTCAAAACCTCCTGATCAGAGGTCTTATTGTTGAATATAGTTTATCGTCTTACCCAGGACTCGAAATGTAGTTTATCATCATACCCAGGACGGAATCATATTTGAGTAGACGCTGCGTTTATTTATTAAACAATATGTCTATCGGCCTGATTATTCGAGAAATCCTATCAAATTTTATTTTTAGATCTGATTTCTTCCCAGAATTCTTCTGTTTGGCTCAGACTAATCTAAAGTTTACAGTGACGACGTTTCCATTCATTCTCTGTGGTTTAGATGTAGTATTTAATTTCTCAACTTATATTTGCTTCATATACTAAATTCTTTACCAAGCACCCACCTGTCAAAGGACACACATCTTATACACGGTAGTCGCACTAACGGAATTTTTATTATAATCCTCTAATATTTTCTCTACGATGGTTTATTGTCATTTTTCCCTGTCACTGGTACATCTGTAGCTCATCAATAGGGCGATTTAGTCAAATTTTTAACATCTGATTTTAGAAACAGTTTCGCTACACTATTTTAAACGATGAATTAGTAGGGGCAATGAAACATATGATATTTCTTTTCCAATCTTGTTATTTTTATTTTTGCTTTTTCTGTGATTTCCTTGGCTACAGCCCGCTCCACTCAAATTTCAAGTGAGCCTTGTGCATTCTTTCGCTTAGTGTTTTATTTATGCTATGGTTGAATCATTAAAGATAACCACATTGGATGAGTTGCAGATAACCATTATATATATGCACATTAATTTCCAAAATTCACAACGCCTAATATATATATATATATATATATATATATATATATATATATATATATATATATATATAAATTAAGTAATTAAGAGTCTGAAGAAACCTCAACAGAATGCAGAAAACACTGGACGGCCGTTTTCGTGCTATATTTGGGACTCATCAGCAGTGCGCATCCACTACCGAGAATTAAAACCCAGTCAGTTAGGTTATCAAGAAAACGTCATACCAACTGCTCAACGGTGACGAAGAGGTAGCAAATCAGTCATCCAGGCCCGTTGAACATTTGGTATTATGTTTGCTTGATAACCTGACTGGGTTTCAATTCTCGGTAGTGGATGCGCACTGCTGATGAGTCCCAAATATAGGACGAAACGGCCATCCAGTGATTTCTGAATTCTGTTGTGGCTTCTGTCAGACTCGATGAATTAATTAGATATAATTATCAAATCCTCCTAATAATTTCTATCATATATATATATATATATATATATATATATATATATATATATATATATATATATATAGTTCTTATATGTTATAAACGGAAAGAAATGTGCTGTATGATATTTGCTTACAGTTGCCAGGAGAATACACAGATGTTTACTTGTGTAGATGACCATAAGGTCCACTGTGGAACATCATAATGCCATAGTCTGGGGGATAGTGGCGATAACTATTTCGAAAACTATGCCTATCTGCAATTTGCTTTACATTGCCGGTAAGCTCTACATGAATAGCGATTCTTTTATTGATAGTTTCAGATTGTAAAATAAGAAAGTTAAATCTGAAGGCGATTATTGAATGTTCAATTAACATGGTGAATGCATTTATATTTTGTTAGTTGTTGAGTCTCTAATAACGGCCCGCCTCTGTACTCAAATATATGCCGCATGATTTCTCTCGCTCTCAGATTCTTTAGGTAGAGAAAGGAAAGAGAAAGAGAGTAAGACTGACATTCTGATGTAGCTCGTTTACTGCGCAAGTTTACAAATTTATCATATTATATATATATATATATATATATATATATTTCCAAATTAATGTAATCCAATAATCGACCTACTTTATCTTGCATAAATATAACAAATGGTATCGGTCAAATAACATTCAAACCAATATTAAAATCTGAAAATTGTAGAGTAAATTCTTGGTTGAGGAAACTGACCATTACTATTCTCCAAACCCTATTTTTACCCAAACCCCTCTCTCTTACCTCGCATCCCCTCCACCAATATAAAGTGTCTGTTCTTTGTACTTTCTCCGTTCACGAAGTAGGTTTTCGTTCTGATGAGATGGACATCTCGGTGTTCACGAAATAAAAAATTATAAACGAAATGTATAATTAAAGTTTCCGTCTTATTATCATTACATTGAGCTCTCCCTGGATATATATCCTCCTCTAAATTATCCCTTCCAGTTACAAACTGGTAATAGATAGATAGATAGAAAGAAATAGACGAAGATAGATAGATAGATAGATAGATAGATAGAAATAAACGAAGATAGATAGATAGATAGATAGAAATAAACGAAGATAGATAGATAGATAGAAATAGGCGGAGATAGATAGATAGATAGAAAGAAATAGACGGAGATAGATAGATAGATAGAAATAGACAGAGATAGATAGATAGATAGATAGATAGAAATAGACGGAGATAGATAGATAGATAGATAGATAGAAATAGACGGAGATAGATAGATAGATAGATAGATAGAAATAGACGGAGATAGATAGATAGATAGATAGATAGAAATAGACGGAGATAGATAGATAGATAGATAGAAATAGACGGAGATAGATAGATAGATAGATAGAAATAGACGGAGATAGATAGATAGAAATAGACGGAGATAGATAGATAGATAGAAATAGACGGAGATAGATAGATAGATAGAAATAGACGGAGATAGATAGATAGAAATAGACGGAGATAGATAGATAGATAGAAATAGACGGGGCTAGATAGATAGATAGAAAGAAATAGACGGAGATAGATAGATAGAAAGAAAGAAATAGACGGAGATAGATAGATAGATAGAAATAGACGGAGATAGATAGATAGAAAGAAATAGACATAGATAGATAGATAGAAAGAAATAGACATAGATAGATAGATAGATAGATGTATGTTTATATATGCGTATGCATATGTTTACATATCTATGTATTCACCTAGCCCAATTATGGAAGTTTAGAGCCACTTCATCTTCATCATCTCAAGAGCCGCTGCGACGAAGAACTCGTTGCACGAGAGGAGGAATAATGCATAGCAATTTGTCACGAACTGCCTTTTCTTATTGTCTATTATTACATATTCAAGATGCAGAATAATAAACTCTTTGTTTTTCCATGTTTATATGAGCTTTTATTCTTCCTTGATTCCATATTTATTGAGAAAAAAAAAATCAAAGGATTAATTTTCAAATGTCTTGTGGCAAGAAGAAATAATTCTTATTCTCTTGGGTGATTGTTTCAATGAAGATATAAAATAACATTATCCCTGGTCCAGCTTCCAGCGTAGCTGGTAGTAAACGTTCTGAAATTATTGAAGACATACGAGGAGGCTTGGAAACAACGTCAAATCCTTTTAGATACTTTTTTTTTTTTAAATTAGGCAAAATCGTGCAAAACAGTAATCTGTCATATTCTCTGAAGAATAATAACTGCAATTCGATTATGGAATTTTTCAATATTGACAATTGTTAATGTCGATGTCAATGTTCTAGAAAAGTCATGCGATTTACCTCTGAATTATTTTGACACTAAATAAAAACGCCAGTCACAAGCCGCTCCAAGTCGAGCCTCGTCTTGAATATTTGACAATAGTCAACACTAATCTATGCCTCAGCTTACGGCCATATCACTTTGAACCACAGGTTCTCTTACGATCACCGTAGGTAAGCAGCGCTGAGACAAGTCAGTACCTAATTTATACTTCGACTAGTTTATTAGACATCACGCGGCTGTGATGAAATAAATTTATGGAATAAGATAATTAGTTCGACTTTACATTTTGTGATAATTTTCATTGCTGTCAAACAAAAATAAAAGGTAGATAATGGATGACCGCTTGGGAATAACAGGTGCTGAAGGAATGGATGTGTCGATGAGGCAATGGGTAATGACTCAGAATTGAAATCTGAGAGCCGAGTTCTAATTCCATCGTTATATTCACTTACGAGCGAACACCTTTTTGGGTAAGATACGAATCCATCTCCTCTATCTCGCCACCAATGTGATAATTAGTAGGAGTCTTATCAGTAAATTATTATTATCTGAACAAAAAAAAAAAAAATTTCTAAGAATCTAAAAACTATTTTTTGGCTTCACATATCCTGAAAAAGGTTGATAAACCGTAAAAAAAATCATCATCAATGAAATCGAACTCTTATATACCTGTCTATAAATCGAGAAGTGTAAAAAAAAAAAAAAATTAAATCGGTGTGGTGGTACCTTATATTCGAAATCAGTATTTTGTAGATTTCCACCTACATCTATATCAAAAAGCACCAAAACATCTGAAATAATTGCTGTACAATAAAACAGCTGTAGGTTTTAGAAGCATTCTGCAGTATATTTTATTCCCTATATTTTGTATTTATGTTTTCATTTCTGCCAGCATATGTTATAACGCGTTTCGTAGCGCCTGTAAGTTATGTTTCGGCTATTTGCACTGACAACTGTACTAATGAGTCTGAAGACGGACTCCACACGGCTTCTTTACTCTAATCTGAGGCTCTTTATTTATAGTTATGGACTGATTCATATAGTCATCTCGGGTGTAATATTTACTTCTAAATATCCCCGCTATTAAGAGTGATACTTTTTATTAATATTTTAATTTTTATTAAGTACAGTGTAACCCGGATATCAGAGAGTTGTCGGGACCGGAGAAGAAGTCTCTTATATCCGGAATTCTTTTATATCCGGGTTTGGTCTATTTATATACATTAATACCGGCTCTAATTTGGGACCAGAGAAAATCTCTCTTATATCTGGGTTTCTCTTATATCCGGGTTTCACTGTATTAGTATCGCCCGCACCTCGCTCAGGAGAGTTCGCAAACGTAATTGACTTTGTAGAGTTTCCGTCTCGTATTTATTTCTATATCTCCAGTACGGTTTCTTCTGGAACTTGTCCTTGTAGGTTCCACGATACATTGCGGTGTTGGCACATCAAAAAAAAAAAAAAAAAAAAATCACATAGTATTTTTTATCGGTCTTTTCAATGTTTCATGTCTTTCGTCGATTAAGCTTTTTTTTCCGCAGATTTATTGAATTTTATCTTCAAATCCTTTCCCTTTTAACATGTAAATCAACTTCTCAATCCTTGTTGATATTTCACCGTCTCCTCACGTTTCTTTGCCCTCCTTATATGCTTTGAAGAATGCTCTATCGCCGTCATTGACACTTCTGGTGTTGTTTTGTTATCCGTTCGTGTTTTTCGAGTTGGTAATATCTTGTCGAACAACGATTTTAATTTCCCTGCAAACATTAATTTCGTCGGCAACATGCCTGATAGTTTATTGGTGTAAAGTGTTACACAGTAAACTCTCGGAAAATTGAAATGCTTCCTCATTTGCTTTCGCGACATGCTTTCTTCCACGCTCTTTTGAACTTTACCACAAACCTTTCCGTTCGACCTTAGGTAATACGGCGGAAAAAAAGCATTTTACAAATGTCTTCGATTTTTTTTTACTCGTAAATTGCATCCAGTTAATCAGAAACTATAGTATCTGCTGTTCCATATCTCGTGAACAGTTCATGCAAGCAATTCACTGTCACTGAAGATGTTGGAGTTTTGCTCTTATAAATTTCCGGGCATTTAATGAAAATATCTACTACCACAAGATAATGTGATCCATTCTTAGGACCTGCAAATTCTATACGCAGTCTTGTCCACGGTGTGTGTCATTGCACAAGTTTCTATCTCTCTGATAGGTAGTTTTACTGTCTGACTCCATACGTCTTCTTCTTCCTCTACCCTGGAGCTCATTATTTATAGTTATGGACTAGTTCATATAATCACCGGCGGTGTAACATTTACCCCTCACAATGGCCAGTTCCATAATTAGTTTAATTTCTTAAATGTTCCAATATATTTGTAATTATATAAGTGTTTCGTTATGTTAATTTTTTTCTAGATGTTTCTTTTCTTTTTAGGACAAGAGTTTCATTCGAGTTCCATGATAAAATCGGAAATGGCGTAATCGTTGTCATTTAAAGAATTTTTTTGTAACTTTATAAAACAGAAGAATTGGTAAAAAATAATTAATAATGCCACTTAAATAAATTTTAATGGAACTAAAATGAATTATTACTTACAGTTAAACGCAATTAAAATAAATCACAATTTTTATTAAATTACATTCTTTATTAAATCAATTAAATTACAATTTTTATTCACTATTGAATACATTTCATTGGCATTTAAATAAATTCTAATAACACTAATTATTTGTTTACAATTAAATTACAATATTTATTAAATTACACTTTTTATTAAGTCAATTAAATTATTTTTTTTATTTAAAATGAAATAAAATTTAGTGGTACTTAAATAAATTTTAGATATCAAAATATTAAATCCTCATAAGAAATTTTCTAAATTTGTGAGAATTTACCAAACCTCGCCATTTGAACATAATATGTTGATTATCTCCTTGGATTATTTGCAGAATGTTTTTCTATTTTTACCTATTTCAAATACATAAAATAGCGGGGATGTATTTTACATGAGTGTACATATATGGTTGCGACGAATTATTTAAGAACCATATTTGTATGGTTTTAATGCATGTGGTGTCTAGCCAAGAGTAAGTAATGGGAAACGATATAAGGCACAAGAATTTAAGTTTATTTATTTTCTAGAGTATCTCGCCCATAAATGCCTGTAGTTTCCATTATGTCCAGACGCATTAAGGCAAACGATTTCTTTCGAATCATTTGTATACAATGATCGATAAATAAGACTGTAGCCTTAATTCTAATTATGAGCCAAATATTGATCCGTTGAATTTATTGACATAGAAGGCGGTTATATTGAGCAGTAAGTATTTATTGCGTAAAATAAATGGTGTTTTCGTTAGCGAACTTCTTTATGCACCACGTGAGGCATTTCAGACGTCGTGGAACTCATAAATATGATTTATTGCTAGAGATGTCGAAAAGTTTGTCATCACATTCGACCGCCCCAGAAATTGAATTCTACCACCCTGAATAGATCTGCTATGCTTTAACTGACTACTTCTCTTATGTATTATCTTAGATTAGAAAAATATATATATATATATATCAAACGAAGGATTGTCGCTTAGGTGCAGCGTCTTATTCCTCACGGTCCAGACTTGATAATGTTCAAAATCGTTTACGCCGCCTTTTGGCGGGTAACCTATTTTCCCATCCGAAACCTTTTTTACACAAACGCAGCGTGGCAAGCCGACTGTTATTGTATGATTATTTCCATCGTAAATATTAAGATGAGCTCCTTTTCTTTAGTAACACCAGTTCAGACATCTTAATCGGGGACGCGCCATTCTACAGCCACCGTGTTAATTATCATTCATTGTATTCTTCTGTCAAGGAGAATGATCTACTCGAGTTTTCCCCAAGAATTCTAACTTTAGGAAAATGTTTGACGCGTGAGTCCTTGGGGACTACAATATTATTAAATGAAGAAAAGGACATAATTTTATCCTCTTTAGCCCGATAAACTTTCTTTTCTTTTGATATAATCTCCTCTTACATCATTTAACACTCTAACTTGAGTGGCTCTCGACACTCGATGTGTTAGAAATTTACTAAAAGAAAGAATATATATATATATATATATATATATATATCTGTGAAATCAACTCCGAATATTATTTTCATATATTTTGTGTATATAAGTTATTTTTATAGATATAAATTATTTAAATACATTCTCTGTCTTTTCTTAATTGAACAGTATTAATTCCGTTTACCGACATGAATATTCGAGACATTTGGTGTAAAATATGCGCTCTCTGTGGTAAATCAAAATTATAAACCTAATGAGACCCAGTCTTTTGATATGACGTGATTCTAACAATTCAGGCACAGAGAAACGTCTAGATAGTAAAGT